GTTTGCAGCCGAGTGTGAAGCGGCTGGGGTGGGAATCAGCACCTCCAAATCCGAGGCCATGGTTCTCAGTCGGAAAAGGGTGGCTTGTTCCCTTCAGGTTGGTGGAGAGTTCCTGCCTCAAGTGGAGGAGTTCAAGTATCTTGGGGTCTTGTTCACGAGTGAGGGAAGGATGGAATGGGAGATTGACAGTATGTACATACCTTCCGTATACTGTAAATAAGTGATTGGCGTTTTGTGTCATAAATAATCTGTGTATGGCGGTTCAACAGCTAAAATCTGTTTAAGTGTTTATTAAAATGTCGGTCATTTTTACTGCGCTAACCTTGGAGGAGTTCAAGTATCTTGGGGTCTTGTTCACGAGTGAGGGAAGGATGGAACGGGAGATTGACAGGCGGATCGGTGCAGCTTCTGCAGTAATGTGATCGATGTACCGGTCCTTCGTGGTGAAGAAGGAGCTGAGCTGTAAGGCGAAGCTCTCGATTTACTGGTCAATCTACGTTCCGACTCTCACCTATGGTCATGAGCTTTGAGTCATGACCGAAAGGGCAAGATCCCGGATACAGGCGGCCGAAATGAGCTTTCTCCGCAGGGCGGCCGGACGCACCCTTAGAGATAGGGTGAGGAGCTCGGTCACCCGGGAGGAGCTCAGAGTAGAACCGCTGCTCCTCCACATCGAGAGGAGCCAGCTGAGGTGGCTCGGGCATCTGTTTCGGATGCCTCCTGGGCGCCTTCCTAGGGAGGTGTTCCGGGCATGTCCCACCGGGAGGAGGCCCCGGGGAAGACCCAGGACACGCTGGAGGGACTATGTCTCTCGGCTGGCCTGGGAACGCCTCTGCATTCCCCCGGAGGAGCTGGAGGAAGTGTCTGGAGAGAGGGAAGTCTGGGCATCTTTGCTTAGACTGCTGCCCCCGCGACCCGGTCCCGGATAAGCAGACAAAAATGGATGGATGGATGGATAAAACAGACACACAATATAGCTCAGGTACCATCAATGCAAATCAATATCAAGATTTGTTTCATTGCCATTTGAGTTGTAATGCTTCAACAAATGAATATGAAAAAAAATCCAGGCTGCAATTCATTCATCAAGTGTTATACAGAATTATACTATAATTGTATTGTATTATTATACTTTTACATTGCACAGGAGATCCTGATACTTTATAAATCCCAACATCATACCACAATGTTATACTTTTTTGTGGCATATTGCATCAGCCCTCAAAATTACCATAGAGTGGGCAATTCCTAGACCTATACAAACTCAACCATGAAGAGACTCCATACCTGAAATATTTATTGAAACAAAAAACTGTTAACTGAGCATGAAATTACAATAACATGTAGAGGTTTTCATATTTTCTTACCATTTTAATTGTCAGTCCAGATCAGAAGGCACGTTTTGTTAAACAGATGAATACACAGGCTTGTATTTCTACAGGAAATAGCAAAGCACACATTAACAGAAATATAAAACTTTTCCATAATACAAATTAGCATTACACCTGGCTAAATGCTAGTGAATGACAATAAGCACAAACTGATCAAAGTGAAAAGCTGTGATGTGGGAGTAGTTGAATGAAGTGCATTTTATCTCTTTGGTCATTTGGCTACTGGATAACCCTCGAGTCCTCACTTATCTGAATATCGCTCAGATACATCATACATGGAGCACACACAAAAAATGCATAAGTTAATGGACACAAACTTTGTAAAACTTAATTCAAACATATACAAATGTTTTCCTTTTAATTACTAGCATTCTACAATGAGGACAATGCCAAAGTACAGTTAATCTATCCCCATGAGTACCTATTTATCCTGTTATGGTTGCCTTACACCACCTGCTACACTGACTATACAGATTCACATCTGGAAACTGGCCCCACACACCATAAACATTCTCTGTTTGTTTTTTGATAGCTATATTTCAGTTACTATTGGAAAGCTTGTTGAAAAAATAAAATATCAAGTCTGCTGCATTTTGACATTCATCTACTGCTTAGTAGGACAAAATGGCAGGCCCATCATGTGTGCCAGATTTGCCGTGCCCTTCCACCTGCTTTTCACCACTGCATGAACTATTGCAACATGAAAATCTCTTTTATTCAATAATTACTTCAATTATCTGTGTATTTAACAGTTTTCTCGTTATGCGCATTCTTTTAAATGTTCCTGCGCAATTACTCTATTACTAGCGTAGTTTACTTGCACTTGTGGACAAGAAAGGAAATGTAAACAAAGACCCAATTATATCTTTCTTTTATTTTAAAACAATATCGGGGTGGGTTCTTATAGTAATTCACAATATCATGTTAGCAAAACCGAAAATTGTTACACCACCATTGAAAGGCCTACATACTGAAAAATTTTGTGCAGTTCCTTAATATTTAACTCCTATTTCCATCCATCTGCGGTGCAACAGACTTATCTGACACTTATTACACATATAATTGATTTCCAACAAAATATTTGTTTGTTTTTTTATATGAACACTGTAAGTCTGTTCCGCTTTAGGGTGCGTTCACTCGAATCAACTTCACCTGGTGTTGATGACGCTCCCCCGTCCTTGCACCATTGCTAACTGACTGCACAACACGTCGTCAAATTACTGTTTTGGTACAGAGGCTGCAAACTCTTCCACTGAAAACTCAGTTGGCTTCTGTAAAAACAGCCCTGCCACTGTCCTCCAGATACAAGAAAGCTCGTTGCAAATTTAATCCCTAAAGCAGTCAAGATACTGTCACAAGACTTCACTTACCAAGTAAAAGAAACCACCTCTTCGTTAAAGCACTAATATACTGCTAGCTACAATGCTAGCTCGCAAACCCTTGCTGCATTTAGGTTAGAGTGCGCGACACAGCCGATAGAAATAAAACACTGCCTCTTACACTTCACTGCACGTTACAGTTTCCGTACAAACGTGTTAAGACAAAGTGCCGTACAAAGGTTTGAAATAGTCCTTTTACGCAGGTTGTGGTAGACAGTTGTGTTTTTTTCTTCCTTAATACCCCAAACAAGAGCCTCGCGCTCTGATTGGACAGAGAAGGTACATGTCAAAATTGGACCAATCAGCAATCGGTTTGTTAAAGTGCTGCATGGAAGAAAAAAACATCATAGCAAAAGGCAGCAGTTTTTTGAGTTTTCCTCTCAGACTACCAGTCTGTATCTATTGTCACATTAAATTATACAGATAATGTAAACTGTAAGATATAATATAGATGTTCACATTTGATATTACAGAAATCCATGCTGTGCCTAGCTTGTTTTTGGGCAAAATTATGTTTGTATTAATCTAAAATTGTGATGGCAAAAAAGAAAATCAAACTCAAAAGCCAAATGCTTTTATCTACGTTAATAAGTATACGCTTTTAGTTTAAAGTCTTTAATTTTGATTATCTAAGACGTTTTCACATTCTCTAAAATACACTTGAATTTTTAAATAAACAACGCATTTGAATTATTCGTTTTTTACTAGTCAATTGATTTGACAAATAGCATACCAGTAAACTGTAACTTTTCAAACAGCCATATCAGTTTATTTCTTGGGAAAGCTATCTTTGTAGTGTATTAATGTGAACTGTAGAGGGCGCAATATAATAAATCCACAACATGAGATTCAGTAGTGTGCACTTCAGTGGAATAAACTGTAACTCTGGTCATTTATATCAAAGATAATTATGTGTACTTTGCATGTCATGAACATTTTAAGAGGTGTAATGTGTGTGTACTTTTGTGCACTTTTATTCAAAAGAAACAAACCTCAAGAATCATGCTAACATAAATGACTGTCTTTAGAAGAATCTTTGGGAGCTCATCAGCTGTTCTCATAGCATATCTTGTGTTGCATGTGGGCTGAGTGGTCCTTCGCTGTCAGATTACATGCCAGACCTCTGCGAGTCATACTGTAATGAAAGATCACAAACAACAGGCTTCTCTCTTGTCAGGCTTTACTGCTAACTAAGATTCAGCCTTCCAAACTTTGCAGTATGTTGAAATAGTGTTGTGTGTTGAAACACTAGACAAAACTATTTGTATTAGATAGTATTATACACTCGCACATATTTAATTTAATGGCAAGTTGACCAAGATTGTGTTTATTTATACTGTAGTTCATCACAGTGAGTCACTCTGGACATACCCAAGGCACCAGTGTGCCCTTCACAGTTTATGGCAATTACAGCTGTGGAATTATGATGAGCAGTTCACAATTGGGTCTACTGTTCAGACACATATGTCAAATCATTGTGTAAGCCAGTGCTGACTGCCTGGAAGCCATGGCACAAACATGATTAAGCAGTCACAATTATAGGAATGAGCTTTGCTAGAACTAAAAGTAAATCAACATATATAGCTCTATCAGAGAACAAACTATACTTTAGTGCATCGTGCCTTTGATAATCAAAGACATAAAAGTTATTTTATAAGCAGTGAGTCTTTGCAATGACACTATGCAAAAGCCTGACACCTCAAACTTGCTAACTCAGCATCCTGAACAGGGGTGCAGCGATAATGTGTGTTTAAAGTTACTGCCACGTGTCAAGAATATGGATCCTCTCCTAAGAAGTCCATCAAGAAAAAGATATCATTTGTCCAAGTTAAAACTGACAGCTTGTTTCACTGGTCAACATGTAACTGACTATAAATAACCCCATTACTACTGTATATGTTGAATTGATTTTGGAAGCAACATTCCAAAACACTGAAGGATCATTCCTCAAAGTTTTATGTGATATTTGAAGACATAATAGACATGTACTATAGAAATGATGTATTGTTTTCAAAATTAGATTCACTAATATACTTGTTAAAACTTCTTCCTTTTAGAATTATGCATTTGTTTTGATAATTTGCATCACTGCCGATTGTAATGGGATGAGGCACTTGTGCTATAACATTTTCACATTTATGTGAGTGATGTACATTTACAGATAAGTTTTGAATGTATGGACACCAGACCAGTGTTGTACCTCAGATTTAAGTCAACAGTTTAGTTCTTTTGGCTGCTGTCTAATGTTCCCTTGCTGAAGATAAAAGCCCAGGTTTTGTGTCTGAACAGATACTTCAAAGCTAAATTCTTAACTATACAACTGTTCATTAGGTTTATATTTTAATTAAACTTTTCGTTTAGCCTAAAATTTGTTGAAAATGCTCAGCCAAGTTTGTTGACTACAACTAGACTAAAATGTTTCTGGGTTTCTTTGACTAATATGACACTATAATGACCTGAGTTTTAGTCAACTAAAAACAAAACAAAGAGAAAAAAAGATGTTGGCTAAAACTGACATGGGCCTTTGATCTCAGGACTAAATCTAAAAACAACTGGAAAAAACTAACACTGTGTCTGCATACAGTGAAACATTCACCATTCACAACATGTCTGTGTATCAAGGGCACACTGAGCAGGACTATGGTGAGGAACAGTAAGGGTTTCATGTAGAAGATGTGTGCCACACACCGCAGACAAAGACTTGTCTGTGATCACACATGTCACGTCACTGGGACAACCTCAAATTTTATTGCTTTATGTAATGGAATGCCAGATGTGCAACAAATAACACGTAAATGTAAACACACAAGACACACGTACACACTTTAACAGTGCAAAAGCGCATGATATGGTACATACATGCACACAACTGTAGCCCATTGTGCTGTATATTTATGCACTGACAGCACATGGACACATACACTGGGCCCATGGTTATAATTCCCCATGGCCCAATAAACACACACCTGCCCTCCAGAGTCACTTCTGCACACACACACATTTAGAGATGCCCCTGATCCCTGTAAAGTAGCACGCCATATGCACAGATACTACACACAGACACATTATCAACTCTCCTTTTTCACTGTTTCCACCTCTCTGCTGCTGCACACAAACAGATTCAACTAGTCCCTGCATCATCTATACTGTATCACACTTCCTCTGCCTGCCATCTACTGTAATTCTGTGCCCCTCACTTGACCTCCACCCCACCCTCCCCATCCAACCTTGGGCCCAGCTGTCTGCAGGACTCAAGGCCTATAGGCTGACATTTCCCTCATGACATTACAGACCCCTGCACTCCACGGACCTGACACGTGGTGCCCCTCTCATACACCAAGACCTACACACTGCTCCAATCACCATAATGTCATAATTCTTGCGTGGATCCTGCAAATTTTGCCCAATCTGCCCCGCTGTTTCCTTCAACCACATTTTTCCTTCCTCAGTCTTATAACCACAAACACATTTTAGCTAACACATCTGAAATATCCTGTTCCAACTGATGACTTTCTAAAGGCACTGAACTGAGGGGATTTGATGTTCTCAAACTGTTTCTGACATGACCAACTGTAGGAAATGTTATATAATAGTAGCAAGAAGGTCTTAGGCTCTGGTCAACTAAGGCCCTTCTGTGTTGAGTTTGCATGTTCTCTGTATTTCTATGCGTTTCCACCATGTGCTTCTTCCCACAATCCAAAGACCTGTGTACTGAGGCAGAGCTGGTATAATCTTAGGTTTCATCAAGAAGTCATTCTGTGTCACAAAATGAATTAAAGCATTTGTACATACTTGCTATGTTTAAGGAAGACTTATCAATAGGCTGCCCCAGTATTTCCTTAAAGATTTGTTGTCTACACATCGTTTTCAAACGATGGATTTGGTAAGAAGTATACACTTTACCAAAACTCTCATAATGTCATAATAGATTAACACTATCAGTGTTATGTTGGCTCATTGCAGAGCAGAACTTGTTTTTTGTTCTTTTTTTGTTAACATTTACTTAAAAACACAAAAAACATCCACTATGAATAAATACACAAAGACCAGTTCAGGCCATGTTTCTTCTGTGTGGAATATATTACCAACATGTAGCTCACGGCAACCATAGGTGACTTCAGACTTCTGGTTGCCACTGTGCAGACAAAAAATAAACACACATTGTTTTGTTAAATCAAAATACACTGGTCAGGTTTTGTTCAAGTTGAAAGATATTACCCCATCATCTGTGTCCTAGACCTGGGTGGTTTCCTTCCTGTCAGGTGGTTTTCAGTCAAAAAAAAGACAGAAACTTTGTGTAGTGACTAAAATTCTGACAATCCCTGTACTGACATTTATTTGTACAACCCAGACACACATACACACACAGGGTAGATGACACAAACATGTGAATATTCAGAGCTGTCACACACTCAGCTCTTTTTTATGCCTACAAACCACATAAGCATGTGGTTTTGAGTCCGGTGATTAAATATGAGACATAGACCTATGACTCTCATAGACACAGTGAATCACACACTTTTTTGATGTGCTTTAATAGCTGTTTTTCTAAGACATTTCTCTGGAGCGTGACTGCTATAGCTTTAACATGTGTTTGTCTGCACAAAGAGTACAGACTTAACGATTTAGGTCTCTAATTGAGTATTTCTGAGCGTTTGTGTGTGTAAATGCACACGATCAATGTTGAGCCAACCCAGGAAGTGACTCCACCCTGTAGCGATACACATAATTCCCCATTGCTGGAGGGGCGAGAGGGAGCTGTTGCGATTAACTTTACTGCCACGGCCCATGACCTCCCCATCTGCCCCTCTCAAAAGACTCTATTGTTCCCAGTAGTCTGAAGCAAGAGAGTGAGCTAAAGAGAGTTATGAAGCCTGCTGGTGGGGCAGAGGCAGGGGTGGTGGACGTTGGGCCGGTGCCTAAAACCACATGGAGGAGAGGGAGCCAGACACAGAGCATCTCTGTGTGATTCACAGTCTACTGTTGGAGCCTAGCCTCAGCTTCACAGCACTGTATGAAAAACTCCACAACATGACAGGAAAAACACACCTAACTGTCACAGGCTCAACTGACTCAACGGTTTGTGGCCATATGGTCCTCCATATTTGGTGATATTGGCCCTCTAAAAAGATTTTTTTAAATCATTATTTGAAAGGGCCAATCAGAGTGGACAGCTGAATGCTGCCCCTGTGGAAGCTTATTAATGACATCTGTGAGTTGCATTTGCAAAAATAAATTGTCATGAGATTTTAACTGTCAAGTATTTTGGCCTAACTCAAATGTGAATACAGGTCTGTTCAAGAATGTGTTGACTTTTAGGCACCACCATGGTAATTGTAATCTAATTAATAAGAAAGCTATAACAAACAGAACTCTGTAGAAGCTATTCACAGATTTTTCATGAACAGAAGTAAGAAGAAAGTTTTCATTAAATAATTTAAGAATATATTTTGTGGATTCAATGTATTTTCAGTTTTTTATTGAAACAGCATAAACAAAAACACTGCAATTAAATAAAAGATTCAAACAAATCAGATGGCACAAATTAAAGACTTATATTTGGTAAAGCAGAAGGGAGAATGCACATCATTGCAAATGTTTGCAGTGTCTAGAGCCTATTCATTAAACATTGCATCTCTCAATCAGTGCATATATTAAAGAAGCTTGTAAAGCAAGCAGAGCTAAGCTGAGATTTCATTATTTGTACACCCATTTAGCACACTTACAATTGCAAAAATAACAATAAAGGGCATTGCTGCTTAACACTGCACTAACACTAAGGCCACGTTCAGACTGAGTTTCAAAGGTATGAAAAATTGCAGCCCTCTCCATTCATTTCTATGGGGATTGCCTTCACCGCAGCCAGCAAAAGCACAGCAGGGGGCACTGGCAAGATCACAAAGGCCCCATGCAGCGAAAAAGTTGGATCTGGTTCAACTTTTGCCACTCAGAACAGGAACATCAAAGGGTAAAAGTGCTGCATCAACCATTCACGTATGGAAGACGATCAGAGCATGGATGCCCACAGGAAGAAGACTTATTTTTTACTGTGTTAGCATGAGCATTCACTGCTATTCACTTTCTAATTTGGACCACAGTTACAAATCCACCATAACAACACGCCATGCGTTTCATTAATTAGGACTGGATGTTATAAGGTGTTTTTGTTTTATCTATCAGTGTTGACACACTGGTGGTAGAAATTGGCACTAACATAGAATAGGCTACATTAGCAGCATAGCTATCCAAAACACAATGGAAACTCATGGTCTAGAAACAGTAATGATACCACTCGTCACAACATGGTATTGTACACGCCTATAACACTTCCCCTGCAATCTCTCACCCCCCGACCAGCGCAGCATGCTACATAAAAATACATCAGGGAGTGGCGTTTACTGCACTCAGTCTGAACGCCCGCTAAGTGCAACTATACTGTATCATCCTATGCATGTGATCTTTGGCTATCTCGGTTGAAACTAGCTGTTCTGGTAATCTACCTATTAAAGTACTATGAATACATTGTCAAGACAATACTATCACAATATCTGTGTAAGCCTTCAAATAAGGACCGAACCAGAAGCCATTAAAATTGTTCTTTTTGGAATGGGTGGCAGTTACAAAGTACAGAAAATTCACATTAATAATGCACTTCAAAGGTTACAATCCTTCTAACTACCTGGAGAATACCAGAGACAGTGGCACAAACCCCTTTGCTAAATTTCACAGATATGTATTAAGTTTTTATATGTTGGTGTTAAAGTGGGAAGAATGTCACGTTACTCTTGCAAATGAGGGTGTCTTTTCTTTACCATTATTCCTGTGCTAACCCTCAGAACCCATGGATGCTATGTCAGAAGAACTTCTGCACATGGTGCTTCATACAGTTGACCAACATATCAGGGATTTTGACTAGCAAGTGTTTTAACTGGTGCTCGGGTGTTTTAAAGGTCACACCAAATAGCCTAAGGATGCCTGTACATAGTGTGTTCTACAATATCAAATGCTAGCCTACAAGCAACTGCAACATATACTATGTATATACATCCTGTGGAATTTGTAACAATCTCTCCTTTTTCCTACTCCCGCCTTCCACTTTTTTGAAGTATTTAATTTCCATTTGTTTTGTAAGTATTTTACATGTTAATGTCTTTTCACCAACTTCAGCATAAAGCTAAGTCAATCGCTATAAGTACAGCATATCACTGCATATCAGTGTCTCCCTAAATGTCAGCTTCTCTCCCCTTTTTGTCTTCTTATTTAACCAAATCCACTTGAAAAAACCCTGAAATTCTTTGTGACACTGTGCCATCACCTTGTTTTGTTCTCTCTGGGGGAGTAGGGGGAAGACAGAGCCTTTTCTATCAACAGCTTCAGGGGGTCAAGGAGGTATCGGTGGAAGTGAGTATGCATGTTCCTGTACATACATTAACACACATACTGTAAGCCTCCCTCCCCCTTGTGTTTTGGCAACAGTCCTGGTTAAATTGGTTTAGTTCTGGTATTGTGCTTTTTTTAATGATCAGAAATTATGTCAGAGCTCAGTAGTTCAGGACTTCGAGAACTTGGGGCACTTCTGCTGTTTGTCTGGCTTTTTCCTCAAGGGCTGTGGAATAGAAAAAGAGGGGAGAGAGAATCAGTTTTTGTGCAGATAATCATAGACTGTCAGTCTTTGGGTAGGTGGATTAATGGAAGGTGATCCTATCTACAGCTGTTATTTCAAAGCTAATCCGTGTCATTTTATAGTATCTTTAATGCAATTATTATGAGGGCGCAGTGGATGCTGCCAACAAAAAGGGTGGTGAAAAGCTGCTTTGTAGGTCAATATACAAAAAGGAAACATAAGGTTTACACAAGAGTCATGTTTATTAAATACTAATTAAGGAGACATTTTGTTTTAAATCCAGGTTGTTTGGGTGTTGACAAGATTAATAAAACAGAAGTCAGCAATGTTATGTTGCTGCCCCACTTGTGACAAACACAAGTCCTATGTCTCTAGAAATCAAATCACACAGTTAAAAGCAATTTTAAGTTGCGTAAAACCAGTTTGATTGAGGACAACTGGCCAAATAGACAGACACTGAGTCAATAAACAAGCTAATTTGAAGGCCATATAGAGCCACTCGTCACCACCAATGCTCTAATATTCCTCTTAGGGCTGAAAGACTGTGTCAGCAAAAGGAGCAGCAACCATCAAGCTTTGTCAGTAGTTTTCACATGGCAAAAACATCTGTTACACATCTGTGAATGGACACAACATAGCCAAGGGGTTAAAATGATTAGTTGACAGAATCAAACAGAGAAATTTACAGAAACCACAATGCTGCCTTTTTTCGCAGGTTTTTGTCCTTGGCACGCCTGTGACACAAGAAATGTTCATCTTTATTGAGTCATGCAGCTCATGAGAGCATTGTCAGTGGGGAGGGTGTGGTTCACCGGAACGGGACCCCCATTGTTCTGATGACATAAGGTGACAAAATGTTCAAGAAGATGACCAGTTATGGTGAAAATGCTATTCAGTGTGCGCCGGACATACAAGGCCACCTCATCACACACCACAACTCTATCTCTCTCACCAAGATGCTGCATGTTATTTCATCACAGGATGTGGCAGCAATGAATAAAAGTTTCATTCCATATTTAGATAAAACCAGAGTCATTGTAGCTGTCTGCATTCACTTGGATTCAAGCTCTATATGTGTGTGTGTGTGTGTGTGTGTGTGTGTGTGAGAAATGTGTGTCCACCAGGGGAAGTGAGGTACTTACGAGTATTTTCCCATCCTTCTCATCACAGCAATCACCACGGCAATGAGGATGACCAATGCCAACAGAGCACCAATCACGATGCCGACTACCTGGCCAGAGCTCAGGCCTTCAGTGAGACAGAAAAAGCCTAGAATCAGCTTCATACTTACATGTGTTTAAATTGCATCATTTTGTTATTGATTGTCCTACTTTTATGTTACTGTGGAAACCAGTGAAAGCAGCTAAAGTTTCATGGTTTATGATACTTAAAGTGAACCAAATGCTAGTTATCTATCTCTGAGAAGATAAAGAAAAACCTTAGAGAGGGAATCAGGTGGGAAAGAGGGTGGAGTGAGAGAAATTTAATGGCTACATGCGACTTTTACGACCCTTTCTACCATCGCCAAGCAGACACACAGAGTTTGAATTTGTCTATCACATCATGTTAGTCAAAAGCAACACCTGACTTCAAATTAATAAACTTTACACCACCCCAGCTTCCACCCCACACATTCCTCACCCTCTGTGTCATCTTCAACAGCCACCTCTTCAGTCGCCTTGAGGGTTTTCATCACTGTGTCTTGGACTGAAGACTGTATCAGGTCAGTGGTGGCTGCAGTCTCCCAAACAGGAGGGTCAGTGCTAGGGGGTTCTGATGCTATAGTGGTAGCATCAGGGGCTTCAGTCCAAAAAACAGAGCTGATAGAAGGTGCTGCCACAGTAGTCACTTCTGTTGTTTCATCTTCAGGGGTTGGTTGGGATGCGGGAGGACTGGTGATAAGTGTAGAGCTCACTTCTAAGGCCGTGGTAGAATCAGGGATGGATGCAGGAGGACTGATGGCAAGTATAGATTTCTCGTCTGAGGCCTTGGCAGCCTTAGGGGAAACAGCTGGTACAACGTCTGTAGTGCGCGCTGTGGGGCCTGGGGAGAGCAATTAGAGGTCACAGATGGGTTCACATACAGGTACAAATATAGGAATATAATATTTTGATCTGTGGAGAGGTCTTTGTTTGTAACTGTATACATGTGTATATTGCTTTTCATAAGTTTTATGTTATACATGGTACAGTTCAGAAGCCAGCAGTAAAAATGTTTTCCTTTCTGACGTCTGAACTGTTCCTTTAAAGGTAAGTGTGTGTGTTTAAATATTGTGAATGTATCAAAACACCTTTTGTCCATATGCATTCCGACAGAATTATCTTGATAGAAACATGGTAAAAATGGTTTATTGCAATAAATGCTTTGTGTTTTTTTTACAACACCTAATCCTATAGTTGTCCCAAAATGTATGTGTTTTGTTTCAGATTTGAAGCTGCAACAGAATTTATAAAGTTTTACTTGTCATCATTCATACTGATAACTTTGAACCTTATTATTATATATGAACTAACAATATACACCAATTGGCCATTACATTATGACCACTGGTGAGGTGATTAACACTGATTATGTTGTTACAGTGGCACCTGTCATTGTGTGGGGTATTTTAGGCAGCAGGTGGACAGGAAGCAGGAAAAATGGATAATTGTGACTTTGACAAGAGCCAAACTGTGATGACTGACGATTGGGTCAGTGTCTCCCAGCCTGCATGTCTAGCTGGGTGTTCCCAGTCTGCACTGTTTAGTACCTACCAACAGTGATCTAAGGAAGGACAGACAGTGAATCAGCAATGATCCCAGTAACCCAGCGTGAGATAGAAAAGTCCCCTGTCTGTCAGATGTTGTACAAAAAAGGTCAAAGCAAACAAGGTAAATGTTTAGATTAGTCCCTGACATTGTGGCATCATGTCACAACCTCTTCTCTTTCTCACACCCTACTGTAACAATTCTCTCATCATCAGCACATGGCTACTATGAGAACATGACCACCACACCCTGTGACGTCATAACACATACACATCCTTCCTTCATTCCTCCACCACTCCATCTTGTCTTCAGGGCTCACGTACTGGCATGCCACATCCTCTGCCTTGTTTCCTGTGGTGGGAGCTGACACTGCTCCAGCCCATTTGTGAGGAGAGCACAGGAAGGCTTGTTAACCTTCGGCTATGCTAGGAGGTTATGCTGCAACCCCACTAGAGGGTGGGGTTGCAGGGACAGTGCCTGGTCTTGTGAAAAACACCACAACTACAGTAAGTGATTACATAGTTGTTGTTTTTTTGTTGCAGGGACAGTGCCTGGTCTTGTGAGAAACACCACAACTACAGTAAGGGATTACATAGTTTTTTTTTTAAAGACATTCTCAAGAAGACTTACTAAATCTCCTCAGGAAGGTTCGATGAAATCATGGACTGATCACTTGAGAAAAATGTTTTCTTTCTTTCAATACTTGTGGAACTTTTTTGAATGGCATTTAACATCTACAGGCTTTGTCAAAGCTCCGAAGCCTGTATTTGCAGTAAAAGGGAGGCTCCCATTTTGTATTTATGAAGTGTGTAAATACATACATTTATCCCTGTGTCTTTCATCAAGGCCTGGGCTATGAAGCAGCCTGGACTTCAACCTAATCATTTCCCTCCAATAACCCTAGCTAAATCTCCACATGTTCAGCATCCTCCCAGCCACAACTAAAAGATCAGCCTGGATGGCCCTGCTTCAAAATTAAGGAGGTAGATTTTAGTGTGACACCAAAATTATGGTCCACAGTTAACTTTCCACTGACAAGATGTTGGCCTGACATCTTTCCTCTTTGCGGGGAAAAAAACACAAATCTTCTAGTCCCTCAAAACGTTCCTTGTGTAGAGAGCAAAAACAAGCATCTGTGTGATTTTTCTAAACTTGGCGTCTGACATCATGCTCTCTCCTCCATTTTCTTCAGTTGATCTAAATACTTTACAAGGGGAAAAAAAACTCTCATTGGCTGGACTAACAACTGGCGCAGTTATCCTGTACTGGCTAGTGAGTTCATTAGCAACAAATGGAGTAGATATAACAAAACATTTGTTCCCACTGAGCAGAGTACTGAAGGGGGTTTTCAAATGGCAGCTCAAAGTGTTTGTTTGGAACATCTGCAAGTGATGATAAAATGGTCTGTGCTTCAGAGACCGTACACTATGTACAATCACCCCTTCAAACTCCACTCCACACTGTTTTACTGTGTACACTTCCCACAATTAGCCTTGAGTAGGATTTCCTCCCCACAGCTCTGACTATGCTGTTTTAATAGCAGCTGCTGTAATGTCTAACGCAGTAAGACTGCTGCAGTCTACATCCCCTCTTCTCGCTTTTCCTTTTTAATCTGCTTTGTGCCCATTTTACTTTTTCATGACCCTGCAAATCCGTATGGGTAGGTTTGTTGCTGCTGATACATTTGAGAAGGCTGGTTCCAAACAGAGAAAGGGAGAGAAAGAGAAGGAGGGAGGGAAAGGAAAAGGGTGGAGGGGGACTCTGAGGGAACGTATGCCTTTCAACCGAGCAGCCGGGGGCAGCCCCCGTGTCCCTTCTGCTGCTTGTCTCAGGTTTGCTGTCTTTGCTCACAGCAAGATGTGTGTCTGTGTAGCTAGGCTGAATGTAAATGACATCATGTACTAAGCACTTGAAATTTCTTCTTCATTATTTCAATCCTTGACTCAAAAACATTTATGCAATTGTTGCATTTTTTCTGTGGTGTACTCAGCTCACCAAAGATTACATCATTTTGATCACACACAAATTCTTGCATCCATTTCCATGTGAAATGGATGAAAACGCCTGAAATTTCTCTGCCAATACTTAATGAGTTAGTAAGTGCCACTGAGATCATACTGTGTCTATGTGTGTACATCTTTCTGTTTTTTTTCTTATGAACCAACAAATTGAAAACCATCAGTGGGAGGAAATTTTGGCTAGTACTCACAACTTGAAAGGGTTAAAACATGATTTGGGGCTAAGGTTTGAATGATGTACAGGTTAGGGTAACAGTAACAGTTAGTGTGTGTGTGTGTGTGTGTGTGTGTGTGTGTGTGCCTCAGTCACCTATTGGGCATTAAAAGGTTTATTCAACAAGGTTAGAAAACACATTTCACTTCACTTTTCTTTTACATTGTGTAAAAGTTATTAAACAAGGACATGACACAAACAGAGCATATTAGCTAACGACAAGTAGAAAAGCTGTGAAGCTAGTTGGTTGTAGTATTCTGCTGGCACAAATGACATATGGTCATTTTTTACCATTGAATATGGTTTAATAATGTGATGTAGATATGCAGGGGGAGACAGAGAGGCAGAGTGTGAAAAGGCAGGCAGGCAAAAGGAGTGAAAAGTGAGATAAGTGCTAAGGAATACACTAAAAAGCTGTGAGAAACTGTTGGAGGCACTCCTGCCTGGCATAAATACAACCTCCAGAGAGAGTGAAAGAGTGAGGGAGGGACACAACAATATACATTGTGAAACAGGAAAGGAGGGTGTAGCAGCTTCCATCCATTCCGATCACAATCAGCTGTCACTGAGGCTCGTGTGTGTGTGGGTGTGTGTGTGTGTGTGTGTGTCTGTGTGTGTGAGCTACTAATTCTGTGTCCGAGTGGGAGGCAAAGGGTCCGTGCAGACGGTGTGAGGGAGTGTGAGTGTGTCCACCTTTGAAGCCTAGGAATGTTTTTACTGCACTGGAGGGAAATGTGAGAGTGATGGGCGCCCTGCCCATCTCACTGCGCCATGATGAGATGATGCATGGTGTAACCTCCCCCACCAAACCAGTAGGAGTCAGCTGTGGAGTTTAATGAGGAGGCAGGAGACAGGCCAAAGTGGAATATTCTTACAGTAGCCAGTCTCATCACAGATGGAACAGTGAGGGTTCACACATGTACAGGTACTAACTTAGGAGGACTTGTATCTAGACTGGTCCAGACCTAGATCAAGTGAGCCTTTTAGACCCAGCAAGTTTGATTAAATTCCTGAAATGTAATGAATCAGGAGAGGTATGACAAGAAATGCAGCCACTGAAGAAATGACAAAGTAAACAGATTGTACTGTACAGCAGCATCACCTTAAGCTTTTCATTAACTTTCCCCTTTTCTTTCAAAAAAAGGAAAAATCACCCCAAGTAAGCCTCAAAGTATTTCTGATCCTGCTAACTTTCAAATCCAGCTCCCATATTGTAAAAACAACCCACTCAATTGGGTAAGTGTTCCTTAGTCAGTCCATTTCTTTTTTCCCTTGCACCATGTCTCACCCTGCTGCACACGTAGGTGCTATAATATGAGACATTTGTGTCTATACCCGAGGGAAGCACACAAAACAAATATCCACAGGGAGGCTGGGATCACCGCCTGCTACTTTGTAAGTCATGGTTCTGGATTGCCACTCTCATCTGATAGAAGCTGATGCCCTGCTACTGTCTGGAGTCATCAGGGAGAGGGCTTGGTCCAGACGTCTACCTCCTTTCCATAAACATAGGTTTCTTTTTTTCCTTTTGGAAAATTTTGGAAGTATGACTGAGCATTTTTTCTTAAAATGAGACTCTGTTTATGTGAAATGTGCTCCTTCCTCCTGGTGCCTCTTTATCAACATGTCTCAAATTTGAAGTATGGCTGCAACATTTGAGTCATTTCTAGCAGCAAGCATTGACCTTTCTCTTCAGCGGCCAGATGCAACAGGGTGTTATAGGCCCAGTAAGGCAGACAAAACTCATTAAGGAGACTGGGTGGGGAGTGTTTTTCGGGATGTGTGGGGTTCACCAGTTAAATAGCAGGTACAAGGGAGTTTTAAAACCCTGTTTGTGGAATAAGCTAGTGTCTTGATAAAGTATTCACTGATAAAACTGCCATTTCTGTCCATTCATCTACACTGTGACGCAATAATGACAAACTGAAAATGTTCTTAGAAATGTTTGCAAATGGATTGAAAATCAGAAACTGCAATCTCTCATTTACAAATCTATTCAGACCCTTAATTCAGTACTGTGGAGAAGCCCCTTTGGCAGCAATTACAGCTTTGAGTAGGTACAGGCTCTGCACATCAGGTTGGTTGGGAAGCATCTGTGAACCATCATTTTCAGGTCTCTCCAAATACAGTACATTCTATGGGGTTTAAGGCTCAACTATGGCTGGGCCACTCAGAGACTTGTCCCGATGGCAGTTGTCTTGGCTGCCTGCTTCAGGTCACTATCATGCTGAAAGGTGAATTGCCACCCCGGTCTCAAGGCCATGTGGACTCTGATGCAGGCTTTTTCAAACTTCTCTGTACAGTATTTGGCTACATTCAATTTTCTCTCAAATTTGACCAGTGTCCCTGTCCATGCCACTGAGAAACCCCCCCACCCCACCCCACAGCATGATGTTGCCAGCACTGTTCACTGTAGGGATGACCTTATGATGAGCAGTGCTTGGAGCCCTTGGAGCTCTGGTTTTCTTTTTCCTGACATGCAGTGTGAATCGTAGCTGTGTCCAGTCAGCTCATTTTGCCACAGGTGGATTTCAATCAAGCTCTAGCCACATATTAATGAAAATTAAAGCAACCATGTTGCATCTAACCACAGCTCAGAGGGCCACAGCAATACTTTTTAAGGGAGTGATTTTTGTTTTGGATTTTTTTAAAACATTTTTTCACTTTTTTATTATGGGTTCGTAAGTGTAGGTTGATGGGCAAAAAAATAAATCTACTGTACAACACAATAAACTGTGCAAAAAGTGAAGGTGTCTGAATATTTTCTGAACCCAGTGTATAGTCTGTCTCTCTTTTTATTTGGAACAATTATGTGGTCAAGTCAAGAACCATGCTGAAAGTTTAAGGTTTCTCTTTCAATGTAAACCTCCATGGAAATGGGCTAGGCACGTTGGCTCCGACTGGTAAAGGTTGTTGTTTAAAAATAGACCCAGCCCCTCTCATCTGCCCCTGTCTCTACACCCACCCTGTCCCACTGGGATCCAAACTCATGAAGCTGAAACAGGGGACGGGGGCAGAGATTTGGAGGAAGTGGGAAGGGGGAATTTAAGTGGTAGAGCTTGATGCGGCATGCCACACGGTCTAACGACATGTGGGTAAAGGAGGGTGGGGCAGCTCTCAAGCTCATCACATACCAGTTGCTCTCTCTCTCTCTCTCTCTCTCTCTTCCCATCCCTTGGTCCTCTCTCGTCCATATGACCCTTTTAAATATAGAGCCTCTCTCTATTAATACACATAGAAACCAGCCCTGCCCTGCCCTGCAGTTCCCTCAGGCCTCAACAACACCCCTGGGTGCACACAGCTTCCCCTAGGCAAGCAGCACTGGTCCAGGCAAACAAAGGAACCAGAAAGAAAGAAAATGAAGAAAGGGGAAAGAGAGGCAGGCAGAGCAGAAAGAAAACTATCAGAGGAAACGGAAGAAAAGAGTTTCAGGAAAAGACAAATGAGAAAACCGGGAGTAATGTGAGAGACGGCGGCGGATAAGCTTTCAGAGAAATGTATACGGTGTATGTTACAGTTTAACCCCCCCCCCCCA